CAGGTAGTAGATGGCGACAACATGCAATTAAGGACCGAAAACAGTAATGAGTGTCTACGATGACGGGGTCTACATGAAGTCCGGTGCTCCATTCGACAGGTTAAAACGAGTTATGAAAACGCCGCGCCCATCGCCGCGCGTGGCGGTGCGGCGAATTACGATCCTCTTTACCGTCTCCCCGAATGGGGTGCGTTCGGCACTCTCGCAGGTCTCGTTTGCTAGTTCTTGCTGAAATACACGTCTCACCTTGGTAAGACCTGTATACTCCTGTCAGATGTAAACAAAGCTATTGCTACTGCGTAGCTTTGCAGGTTACTACGAAAGGCATCGGCATATTCAGTGGCAACAAACGAATGCCCCATCGTGCCGAACTGCGACGATAATCCTATAGCGCTGTGTGGACTGCTATGAAATCGCGTTCTGATTTCCAGACAGGATCACGGCTCTAACGGTAAGTGTAGAATCAGTTCATTTAAGTAGGTTTCAGTGCACGTTTTTCTTCGACTTGCATCAACATCGTTCAGCTACTTCCAGGCGGGTGGGGCGGTGGGCGTTCGGGTCGGTGTGTTGCTAGGCTGCTATAAGGCATTGTTCACAGTCTACGACCCAGCGTTTCTCTAGAAAGAAACGCTCCGGCGAAAAGCTTTCGATACGTATCGATTGGCGGTTGGGCGAAGAGTCTGGCGGTTGCGCGAAACGGTTTTGATACGTATCGACGGGGTTGGGCGAAGCGTCTGGGCGAAAAACGCTAGCCCGACCACCCTGGCGTTCCCTCTGGGCGGAGCCTGCGAAATCGATACGCATCTATTGCTTTTCGTCCAACCGCTGAACCGCGGCGGTTCGTCGAACGGGGCGGTTGGCGATTCTCCGATCAATAAGTATTTTTTGCTTTGGCCGAACCGCCATTTCGTCAGGGTCTCAGTCTGTGAACGATGCCTGAGGGTACCCCTCTTAGAAGAGGCGCCGCTCAGCGCCTGCTGGGGGTGGGGAGCCAACTTCCGTCCTGCTAGGCTTGTTAATCCTACACATTTTGGAGGACTCATCGTGCCGTTCGCCTTTAAAAATGTATTCCACGCTGATCGTGAGAGCGGAGTAAGGCGTACCAACTTGCTTTTCTCACTAGTACGCTCCCGTTTTAGTACAGCAAGTAATAGAAGTTCTGGCAAGTAGGAGGAGCTTCATTGAATTACATACCTGTCTCTCCTCATATAATATCTCGCTCTGCTCCTAATGTAGAACGCTAGTGAAGAATAATAGCATAAGAGCTAAAAGTCTTTCATAATTTAGACTGAGATCTTGAAGTTTTGCTGATTTTATGTTCCTCTCGAAGCATGCTTCCATTCCATTCCCTGAATGGAATTGACTTTCTCATTCCCTAGTAAATTTGCGGTGTTAGTTTATGAAATATGTGAGCGATTGTAGTCATTTTTAGAATTCCACTCAAATAGTACATGTATCAGAATACTTTATTGTAAAGCGATGTCATATTGGTGAGTTCTGAATTGTCTCGTAATGCTGAGGAAGCTGTGGTGGTCTCAGAGAATGGTCTGTCTCGGAGATGCTTCGAGTCCGAACGGCAGGTAATGAGCTGTCTGTGGTGTCATTCGGCATTTCCGGAACAATCTGAAATATTAAGAGAAATCAAAGACGACACCCAATGGACCTCTAGACTAGGGAGAATTGGTAATGCATGGACCAAGTGTTAATAGTGCGAGACACAATGACTGCATTTGAGAGAGATCGATCAAGTTTCAGCACCCTCGTGAGGGCACGCTCCACGCTGGTCATATGGGCGTGACCAGGCCCTCCACTGGGTCTTCTTCACAGCTCATGGTGACGGATTAGAGTCGGAGTCAGGAATCAGTCACAGCCGTGCCTTCTTTATCAGCTCACTTAGAAGGGCAACAACATTAGACTTCTTTGAGAAACTCTAGTTCAAACAAGATGCAGAACCCAAATCATCCATAAACTGTGAAGTAGTGCTTTACAGTTAATATGTTGATAGCGTCACAATCGGTAGAGGCGCTTTTGAGGGGATTGGAAAGAGACCACCCTCGGCGCTTCCACCACTGGTTGTTTTCTTCCCAGTCACTAACTGACGACCACAGGTAGGGCAGGATAACTGAAGACAAGCTCATCCCCACCCCCACCTTCCTCCATGGACTGAAAGCGACGTTATCAAGAATAAGAGTGAGGCCCTCTTCCAGTCCAAATCAATTGTCAACTTACACTGAGGCGTTTTTCGATCCATGATGGTAACGAATCATCTGAAAAGGGTATGCAGTAATGTAAGAGTTAATTGCATGGATTTCCTACAAAATACAGTTGCTCAGCACCATAGAAAAAGCTTTATAAACTCACCTCTCATAGAAAGTTGTCGCTGTGGGCTCTTCTTCTCGTTGGCTACGATTTGAGTCCTCAATGAAAACCGCGTTTAAATATCTATGCTTAGGAGTTAGAAGGGGAGCGAATCCAAAAACGAAAAGAAAACGGTATCTAAAAAAGATCTCACCCTGACAAATTCTTTCGAAGCCTCGAGACGACTCGATTTATACCCGGTGAAGGGGTCAACGAAGATGGCCTGAAATGATAGGAATTTTTCACTTAGGCCTATTGAAATGATAAGAACAGGACGAACGTTCTGATGACACTGATTTTCCTCGGAGTAGCGCAGTCGCAATCTCGTCCGGATAACGACATCATGGTGATCTCGCTAACGCCTGTTGGTAATCTGGAATGAATTTAGATGTGCTCTCGCCGGAATCACAAATGAAATTGCAGTTGTTCGCTGGCCTGCCTGTGGAGGAACAAGCAAAGAGTTCATCATGAACGCTCTATATAAGGTCCCCATATGTAATTTCCCATTTTGGCTATACATTAAAGGAAGTTAACTTTAAGAAGGGAGATCAGAATTCGAGAAGTGGAGATGGGACAGAGGCGAAAGAAGCGGCAGATTCAGGACAGAGAAGTCTCTTCCGGGCGGGAGCTTGCTAGTGAGCAATCTTCATGGTCGTTGCTCCTCAGGTATTCAGCTTCGAACCGCAAAATAGCTGCGGCTAAGCGATTCCGAACCAGTCAACCTTACTGTTGGAGAAAGGCTGAGTTACACTTACTATTATCACCAGGTGGTGCCCAATCGAGGCAGACAGACAGGAAAGGGACACCTAGTCCTGAAGCCGATTGCTTCCCCACAACTCTCCCACCTACAGTAATCCTTGTAATCGTAGCTAGTTCGCGAATATTCTCGAGGCAGTGCGGAGCAGTCACAAGAATGCTGAGATATTGGAAAAAGAAGGTCCCGTCTCCGGATCCGACTTTTGCCGCATATCTTCAGCATGTGTTCGTGATAAATTTATACGGAGCCTGCACTGCCGGCGTTATACAGCATTACCAAACTGTTAAAACCACAGTTGCGGACATTGCACGACCAGCTGCTATTTCCGTGCCAACGCCTAACCTCTTTAGGCTGCGTTTATACTTTGCGGCAGCAGTGTAGCGTAGCGCTTCCAGCGTACGCCAGCGGCAGTGTCGGGGAAAGGATACATATCGATCTAGCTTCACACCGTCACCCCAGCGACGCATAGCGTGGCCGCTGGCGTAGGAACGGCGACACGAGGAACACTAGCTTATCGGTCTAGCTTCACCAGCGTTTCTCCAGGGTTTTCCCAGCGCTTCAGCGGCTAGAGGGTATTGAAGGTAGGAGAGTACTGAGAGTACAAAATACTCTCCTACTTTCAATACTCTCTAGCCTCTGTCTAGCCCCGTCGCTGCAAGCGCTAGCGGGGCTAGAGAGTCTTTGAAAGTCAGGAGCAGTACAAAATAAAAACGCGCTACCTTCAATACTCGCCTAGCCCGTCGCTGCAAGCGCTGGGAAAACGCTGGAGAAACGCTGGTGAAGATCGATCGATAGCTATGCTTCCCGTGCCCTCGCTAACGCCAGCGGCACGCTAGCGCACGCGCTAGCAATCGTATAAACGCGCTCTTACTCATGCAATCACTTGCCTCTTTCCGTCTGGACACAGATGGCAGCCCACAGACAAGCCAGCCTCTGAGATGTGCCACTGCAAACTTACAAGATGCGTGTATGGCGGAATGACCGGCCAACGGCTCTGCACGTCGTTGCATCGATTTCTCACTATAGAGCAAGTCTATCGGCAACCGCCAGAACTCGTCTTTCCTCTCCTCCGGAACCTGATCGTTGCCGTCGTCAACTATGGAAATGCCAATCTAAAAAACACTCTTTCAGAGAAATCAACTGTGTGCTACCTCATAGTCCGTTACGTCGCTCAGTACCACTGCGACGTAATCAGAGCTGAAGTCATCGACGGGATCTCAGTCAGAATTTGTAGAGGCTGTTGGCCGTGGGCTTTTGGAGAACGCGTATCGCTAAGCCTACTTTCCCGCACTTTTTTCTTTACTCCCGAAGGGCTAGCGGGCGATCACTAGAAAACGGGCTAGCATGGCCGCAAAATAATGAGAGAACGTTGACACGCCCAAACCTAACCTTTTGATGAATAACGATAAACAGTTGTTGAGAAATCAATGAGATCACAGTTTTGCGGCGACGCTTCGCTAGTGACGTGAGCTGGTCACGTCACCTATACGGTACTCCCACCCGCGCACCGCAAATTGCCGGTTTGGTGAAAAGGTTTCAATGTAGAGTCAGACAGCTCTCCTGTTGCTACGAGTCGCCGCAACACGGATGTCCTGACCTGCACCCGATTTAGGTTAGGATATCGCCTGAGCAACCCACATGAGATTCACCGATCTAGAGACAAATTGCCTCAAAGTCGTCCGTTCATCTTCACCAGAAATGGATTCAGCTAGAGCTATCTGCACCCCACCCCTGCCACCTTCAGCCAGCCCCATATAGAATGTGAACTGTAGACATGACATCACAGGAATCACAAAATCGATCTAAACATTCAGGGTTAAAAATAAATTTTGGAAAGGAAATTGTGTAGATTGTAATGTGTCCAAAAACACTTTTACTGTTTTTGCAATACGAGGGAGGATGCCACCCACAGTGAGATTCCGAAACTCGGGTCAAGAGCGTGATCCCAAATGCACTTATGGCGATATTTTTAAAGACAGCCCCGCGCTCAAGTAGTACATGGTCGTCCTTCCTTGTGCAGGTAGTTCAGCCCCCAAGCTAGATACTGTCCCACTCTCGCGACTCCACAGTGAGCGAGGAGCGAGCTACAGCCGCTCAAAGTTCTAGTTCTAACGCCCGCTCAGTTGGACCGCCCCACTTGCTAGCTGCCCTCTGACGGAGAGCCGCTCAGTTGTTCTTTGTTGGGACGGCGGGCATTAATCGGAACTGCATGTACTTTTTGCTGACCGCGCTCGTGCCCATAATAATTCTGCTCTCCTTCATCACATTTTATTCATTGGGAGCACATACAGTCAACTGCAACCCATCTCGTAAGGTAAAACGCGTAAAAATCACGAATGATGCAATTTCTGTGGTGCAAAAGCTCGACATGCACCAAAAGCCGCACACTTCACGTAACCCCAAATTAGGACGCCAGATTTTTGAATTTTTTTTTTGTTTTCGTTCGTGTCTTTGTTGTTTTTCATATTGTTTTCTTTGAAATGGATGTTGTCCACTACTGGGAAATGCCATAAAGCGATTTGTGAGCCAGGGGTTGCCCACGGACCGCAGGGCGGTGTAACTGTAAGGGAGCAATTTTTTGTGTTCTTGAGGGCTCTTGTTGCTTTTTTCCTTCATTGAGGAATTACTTATCAGCTACTGTTTCATAATTCAGCAATTATCCTTGACACTTTTATCGCGGGAGCTGTCTTGAAACATTCTGCCTGAGCTAGCTACCTGCTGTCATCTATAATCCTACAGTATGTCGCACATTTCTATGATTAAGCTTCTTTCACTCTAACAATCGGATGTGAAATAGACGCTTGCGAGGAGAAAGGCGTTTTCATGTCGCTACCACCTTTTCGGAAACCATGGCCATCTCTTTTTGACCCGCATAGGAGCCGTGCACACAGCTTTATATTCGCCGCTGCACCTTGTAGATCCAAAAATTTCTACAAGGTGCAGACCTGCATCCCTCCAGAGATTTATGAGTACCGGACTCATTTTGATGGACGAAATCACTGAATGTCGGCTGGAAGCCACAAGTAGTTTCTAAGAAAACACGTACTTAAAAGCCCACTCCATGCTGGTCTTGTAGGCGGAGTCAGCCCTTTCCTAATTTAGTTCTCATTCCAAAAACAGCAAGAGGAGAGTCGCACCAAGAGTGCACAGTAGGGCACCAGAGCACGACCATAGTGGAATGTCCGACGAGCTTGTTAGGTGAAATACTCTACTAAGGCCTGACGCAAGCAAGTATTTCACCTAACAACCTCGTTGGCACAAAAACCATATCTTCACGTAACAATTATGTTGAGGTTTCACGAAGAGAGAAGCGGGCTAGCTCAGAGATCAGGGAAGGAGGCCTCGTAGGCACTGCGCTTTGAACTCAACAATATTTTACAGTAGCTCACCGTGATTGGATCTCCAGAAGGGGAGAACTGGCGCGCGAAAAGAGGGCGATGAAGAAGAAGAGATGCACTGCCAGAGTGACGAGTTGAGGGTACATAATTGGAAGCGGCACCCAGTCGTAGTTAGTAAGAGTAAGCAAATTCGTGCGGAATCGTCGGATTTCCTAGAAGTTGTTACATTTACAAAAAAAAGCCAAGTATAAGGCAGACACGTTGCTGCTTTGCTAGCAGATATGTTATATTCCACAATGCTTGTATAAGAACGCGTTCATTCTTCGCGGTCGCGCGATTGGATCGCTCGACTGGATCGTGTGATTGGATCGCGGGCTCTAGTCGAGCGATCCAGCCGAACGACGAAATCGTAATTCGCCGCGTTGGCGGGCGTTGCTAGCGAAGCCGCCTGCCGCGCGCGGCAGCTGCAGATTTGCAGCAGCGTGCTTGTTCTCGTGTCAACTTTCTCACTAACAGTACGTGAATAGAAGAGATCGTGAATTGGCGGGTGGCGGGGAGGTTCCTCCGTTGTCGTTGTGAAACACCGTAGACTAACTCTTGCGCCTTAAAGGGCAAAGTGCGCCACACGTGATGGCGCGGCTAATGGCGATTGTCTTGACCGTTTCACAAATCACAAAAGGAATGTATTGCCTTATAAACGGGATGCTTCACCTCTAAACACTTCGAGAGCAAGATATCACTTGAAATAGTTTCGTCTTCATATCTGGCTTTCTTCAGCAGGGTGATGGCCCATTCGATTGGGATCCAAGTCTTCCCATAAAGACAGCCGTGCTTTCCCATATTCGCTGCTGCACTGTTGAGTCCTTCGAGTTCTTTTAGCTCGTGACTCATCAAAAATCCTGAACTAAAGAGTTTCGTAAATTTCTGAACTGACTCTACCATAATATTCAGTCAATGTTCGGGAGAGGAGGAGGGCGTGTCCATGTCTTAGTTGTGAGTGCAGCGGCGCCACAAGTACCGGTTTAGACAGAAACGAAGTAGCGCGTACATGATTTCCGTATCTCGGACACGAGAGGGCGTGGCTGCGTACTTCATTCGAACGTGGCGGTGGTTGCGTTTTGGTGGGATATTGCCGCCTTGGGATCAATTTAGTCATGTCTTTCTCGAGCACAGAACAGAACGACAGTTGTCTCAGTTGGAGGTAACGAAAAACGCATTCAACACTATGTACGAATGAACTACGCAGCCACGCCCTCTCAATGTTCTGATATGGGGTTTGAGGAAGCACGAAATCTATTTCAGACATCTCGAAACCGCCCTGACTGATTGCAACGATATCACGGTAGACACGCCCTCCCCGTCTCCAGAATATGTAATGAGTTGCTAGCCAAGTGACCCACCAGAAGCGACAACCGTATCCATGGTTGGAAACCGTTTTCGAACTTGAACGGAAATATCGCGGAAGGCGAGCAGCTGTGCGACAACAGAATACCTGAGCAAGAAATGTAAGAGAATGTGCCCCAGTTGGGCTTGAGAGGGGGGGGGGGGGCTTCGCACTTTCGCTACTTCCCTTCGTCGTGTTCAGTGCCTTACAAAAATTGAGAACTGTTGGGAGTTAGCTGGCAGGTAGCTTTTACAAACTTCGACCGGTGTCACTCGGCTTCACAAGATTCCACACATCTCTACGGGATGGCTTCCTACAACAGTGGTAAGTGGCGAGAGGGCAAAATGCACAGCCCCTCAAGCTGAAGCAGTGCCGAAAATCTCTTTATGCAATCCAAAAGACAGAGAAGGATACAGGAGCAACGTATGAGAAGCACCCATCTCGATCAGATGGAAGGCGGCCAAAAACCAGACCTAACGTCTCACCCACTCTGTATTTACAGGGGGCCCAAAATATAGCAGTCTATATTGTGGAAGGGATGTAATTTAAGTCTATAAGTTCTTCATTCAGTGGATTTCAAAGTTATAACTTTCGAATCGCGCACTGCCGCGTTAAACAGCTGTTAGCAGTTCGACCAGTAACAACTTTGAAAATTCAGTTTATTTCGTAAAATAAAGGAGGTCCAGCTGCAAATCACTCTTGCAACAAAAAAGCATCTTCATCGTCTGCTTTACAAAATAGCGAAAGTGTTTTCCTTGTAAATAATTGCTCAATCAACATATGCTGATATAGCCTCAGAAACGAATTAAAATGAAATTTACCTGATTATATTTCTCCGCCGTGTTCTGGTCTTGTCATCCGAGCCCCGAACACATGCAGAAATGGTGTGGGCAAGGCTGAAACATCTGTCTTCGTTTACAAATGTTAGTTAGCTTCTTGCAACTAAAAAAGAATAAAGATAAAAAATAAGGCATAGAATAGATGAAAACGTGCTTCAAAAAACAGTTACTGAGCCAGTGGGAAAGTTCATGCAGATCATATGGGTGCTGTTGCCATATGATCTGCATGAACTCCCTCCCTTTCGTTGAGTGGCGCAATTCGTCTTGGGTGAAGGTGCATTTCGCACTTCCGCTACTTCTCATCGCCGCTCATTGCTTCGAAAGAGTTGACAGGCATTTCCTACTAGAGTGATCTCTACAACCTTTGACTGGTATTACTTCATGGCCGCACGAGGTTCACAGAGTTTGAAACGACGATGGGAAGCAGCGAAAGCGCAAAATGCCTACCCCGCCGCCCTCCCGGAGCCGAACTGTGCCCACTAATATATCTGTCCCTTAATCCCTTCTGGGAGTGTAGGTAGGAGGGGTGCATTTATGAAGGGTTGGCTGTCTCTGCCCACGCGCCAGCCTGGGCTGCGCCTCTGAACAGCTTTTGTAAAAAAGAGAAGTCGAAGAGAAGAAAAGAAAAAAAGAGCCTCTAGTGAAAATTTAGCGAAGACACTAACTTTTCTATGAGACCGATGTTGTTAAATAGTGTTGACCATCTCGTTACGATCACAGTGACGAAAAAATCCGAGCATAAAATCAAGTGGAATGTCTTTAATGTGCTGATCCAGTACTCGAGCAACGTTTTGAAATCGCCTGAAACAGAATATCATAGGGAAACACTAAAAATTTTATCTGCTCTTAATATCACTTTTGTAGTAACTTTGTTCTTTCGGGGGTTATCTGAGGATGGATAGTCTGTTCGCTGCGGTTGCTGATGCTTGTCAGAGGGGAGGGCCGGCTTTGAGGTAGTCCCGCTTTCCTAGGACTCTTTCCGCTTGCCGCCTCCAACAGCTGGTGGAGAAAAGGCTGGCGCCGCGTTATACCCAAGCTCCCTAATACACCCCAGCATCCACAGCTTGCTGGAATCATGCGATAAGCAAGGCAGTGCTACGGTCCTCACGGAAGAACCTGGTGTCGATTTACCGTCACCGTAGGATAAGGATAGAATGCTCGGGCTGCAGGAAAAGAAGCCGACGCGGGTTCTTATCTGTGCGCGTGGCCACATACGGCCACACCAACTTCGCCTTCGCACATGGTTTGGTTGTTAGAACCGTGCCACGTGTGACGGCACAACGCTCAGACTCATGGTCTGGGCTACACTTGTCGTAGTTTGCGTACGACCTGTAAGCGTCTATGGTATGCGCTTTGAGGATGTCATGCTCCGTTACGACGCTTCCTCTGCTATAAAGATTCCGGGATGAAAACCAGTCGAAAAATTGAAAAACGCGTGTTTTCTTTATACTTTGTAAGAACAGACTAACCGTTGTTGGTCGATGCTGAGCAACTCACGCTGGGCGATATGAATGAGACAGAAAAGTATCGACCAAATAGCCGCCTGAATTCCCACCGCCTTCCAAAGGCTTCCACGCCAACGAAGAAGAATACGTAAGAGAGTCCAGGGATGAGATGTAGCCACACAAAGATTGTAGTTGACGGTCATTGAGAAGGTAACAGACGATAGCAATTCGTTACTGTTTGAAGTAGAGCGAGTCAGAGATCAGTTCAAATTATTCTCCTGAAAATAAAAAAAAAAAGTGTTTAATGAGGTAGAGAAGAAATGGGTGCTCGCTGTTTGGTTCAGAGGGGGGCATCATGCTGTTTCACTAGTTCCCTTTTCTGACTCCTGTTAAATTACTCGTTAAATTACACGCAGCCTTGGAGGGAACTGTAGGCTTTGTGAAGTGTAAACAAAGCTCCAGCTTTTTCACAGCCTCACAAGGGTTTACAGGTAGCCACAGATGGCAATGATTAATGGGAAGCGAAATGCCCCTTCCAAGCTAAAATGGACCTAGAAAGAATACAACCTTTACATTTTGAGAGAGTTATTGCATTCATATCAATAATATCGGAGGGGTCACCTAACGCTCTCCTGGGGTCATAATTCACTCGGCACTTAGGTTCCACAACCAGTTTGGAGAGATGTGCAAAAAAGAGATTCAGAAAAGGTAAGGCATTCAGAAAGTGATCACAAGAGTGCTGAGGGAACAAGTCTCTATCTCAGGGAGTCGAACCTGCACCTCACGCCTTCCGCTGAGGTGCGATCTAGGTCCGCTCTCACCCTTAGAGCTCAATGGCGTTTGTTCTTTAACCTTACAGCCTTGACTGTTTATGGCTAATGGATAGCGCACCCGCTCGGAAAGCTTGAGGTGCGGCCCGAAACTTGGCATTCTTGTGGTAATTTCGAACAGCGGGCACTTCTCGTACAATAGGAGTTCGAAAAATTGACAAAGAATCAATAAGACAGCTGTGCCCAGCCAAAAACGAAGGCAGATGAAAACATGGTGGAGGACTAACAGGTTTCGCTGTCCTTTAGGGGCTACCAACGACCGTGTACTTTTGTGTGGTCTTGTGCCAGGACACAAGTGATCTTCTGAACTGATAAAGAGCCTTTGGAAAAGAACGGTCTTTGCTGACTGGCTAAAGGCAAGAACAGAGTTACTCCCACGCAGTTCAACTGATTCCCATAGAGTTTTCTGATAAAAGACGAACATAACCTCAAGTCCTTAAAGATATCCTTGTGCAAAACGTGTTCTCAGTAGGATCACCTGACATCCAGCCCCCAGACTTCATGGTGAAAATCTGGTGTGGTCTATTGTGCAAAAGTCAAAGGACTGTTCTTCTTATTATTTGGCTAATAAGTAATGGCCGTTTTTTTCAATTGAAAAATTTGTTCGAAAAGTGAAACGTTTTGCAAGCAAGTTATATATCATCTGATAGGAAACTTCTCGTAGTATAAGAATATCAAAAAAGCTTTGGTTGAGGATATAGTTTTTGTGAATTTTTTAGTCGTTGAAGTTGGAAGTGAAGTCGGCGAAAATTAGCATCTTCGACAACTGCCTCTATTTACGTCTACTCGAAGTGCTAAAATCGCTTAAGCTGCTCCATACATTCGGAAAAGGTTGAGGTAGAAGTCTCAGCAAGGGAATCTCAACAGGACCTTTGCAACTAATTCAAGCATATTTCAAATGTTGGCGACTCAACCTTGCCAATATGGCAGCTCACGTCTGTCCACCTGATAATTCATGCAATAGAATGAATTAATTGAATTTGAATTTGATATTCTAATACTACGAGAAGTTTGCTATTAAACGATGTTAAGCTTGCTTGCAAAACGTTTTACTTTTGGAACAAATTTTTCGATTGAAAAAACGGCCATACTATTAGCCAGCCACTACATTGGCTGTCTAGTACAGTAATGCTTTAATAATATAATATAAAAAAAGTTTTGCAAGCAAGCTTAACATCGTTTAATAGCAAACTTCTCGTAGTATTAGAATATCAAATTCAAATTCAATTAATTCAACTATTAGCATGAAATTTCTAAATAGAGGCAGTTGTCGAAGATGCTAATTTTCGCCGACTTCACTTCCAACTTCAACGACTAAAAAATTCACAAAAACTATATCCTCAACCAAAGCTTTTCGAATATTCTTATACTACGAGAAGTTTCCTATCAGATATATAACAACTCTCAAAACTTTCACTTTTCAAAGAAATTTTTCAATTGAAAAAAAAACGGCCATTACTTATTAGCCAACCTAATATATGGCATTAGTCCCACCTCTGCACTACACGTCCTATGAATGCCCTCCCCGAGGTTTTATCGCCAATAAAAACTACAACATTTAGTAAATAGTACAGAACTCCTGTCGGGAACATAGGCAGAGATTTCACGACATCTGTCTGTTAACAAAGACCCCCAGTTGAGGTAACTGATGCAGCCCTCGAGATTAGCTCCTAAGGCATGAATTCTGGTGACATAATTACAAAACTGGCAACAAAACAGGCTTAGAAATCCATATGTACCAGAAGCTCTGAGGCTTGAGCTGACACTAATCAACAGAAAAGGATCTCGCTTCTACCACAATAATGTGAGGCCCCATGCACATTATTGTGGTAGAACATAACTACCGCTGTAGAAGCCGTAGAGCTGAGCTACAAATCATACAGAAGAGGTGGGAGTCCGCGAGCGAACACTTTTGAACCGCTTGAAAAACAACTGCACATCCCTAGATCTTGGTCGTTGCCGCTTGTGAATGAATGGGTCCACAAAAGCAACAGTGTGCTACTTTCTCAGGTCCTCAGTTTGGTTTTCCTGTGGGTGCACTGCGGAATGGTATCTGACTATCACAACCTTACGACCTCATTTCGGCTTATTATCGAGTGAAGAAAGTAGCATGATAGTGCTGCTGCGAAGCCTTTCATATAGCAAATCGTGAACTATGAACACAGTCTAACCGAAAGCAGGAAGGGGGAAGGAGCTGTTCTGTTTCGCTTCAGAATTTCGGAATTTTTTGGAAAAAACATTGGATAATTCCATTGGGAAAGAATACACCTAGTTTTTGGAATAGTAGGTATTTTGGCACCTGAAATGAAATGCGGATAGCTCCTAATCCATCCCTTGGTGGGGCACAAGTGAGAAACAAAACAGCTAAGAGTTGACGACGGAATAGATGAGAACATCGTCAAAGAGGCGTTCTTGAAAAGTGCTGATTTGGTGTAGTGCTCGGAGCTCACACAGGTGTTGAGATACATTTCATGCAGAGATCGGGAGGACGTAACTTCTTCATTTAAAGATGGCGTGGAATGCGTTTTGGTTGGATTGTCTCGATTAAGAAAACGGTCATCCTATCAGAACAGAGATGTGAATACGATTTTTCCAAACTGGCACTATCCAACCGAAAGCGCAGCTGTCGGCACCTTCGAGTGGAGTACGTGGCCACGCCCTCCACATCTCCGGGATTAGAGTGCAGAATCGCTCTCAAGCCCTATGTTCAATATATTGAATATTCAGCATTCTAAACATAAGTCTCAAAAATCTATGTGATCTCCAAACGTGCCAAGAAAGATAGACTTTTTTATAATACGCTTTCAGAGGTACTCCCTTTTGTTGGCTTCATTAAAGTTAAACCGTACCCTCACTCCCAAAGACTATACTTTCCATGTGTGAGGTGAATAGGTCCGCTGGTGCAATAGTATGCCACTTTCACCGCTCAAATATGCATAGGGACGGGATTGTGGGGTAGTGGTACCTAAAAATCGTCTCCATGCTATGCGCGTGCTATCCACAAAGCGCAGCGCCTACGTCAGTACCATAGTCCCGCAGCGAACGCACAGTCAGAGGTAGATAACAACCAAAAGAGGGAGCAAACAGCAACGAGAGGGGCCACAGTTAGCGTGTGGTTGGCTGTGCGGCAGCAACGGTGGAGTTGAAAGACAGTACCCGGCCATCATCGTCTTTCATTTAACCGTTCCTGCGCATTTTGAAGCGGACACGCTACTGCAGGTGCAGATCCATTCCTCGCGCATGACGAGGACGAGGATTGAGTAGGAGAAAACTGGGGCATATAGTTAGTTGGGTTTCGGCTAGTAAAACAGCAGAGTTTGGTCGAACACGGTGGTCGTTTGAAAGATACCCGAAACCAACGACTTAGCTTCTAGATAACAAACCAGTTTAAATCAAATAATCGCAATCTTTCTAATAGAACAACGTTCACAGAATCAATTAAGTGCTGCATCGCTGAGCGAATAAAAAAGTCCAGCGAATTTCCGATTGCTAGTATTATGCTCTCGCAGACGAAGGTAGGGCTGGTATTCTCTCGTTTAGGAGTCAAATCCGGCATATAGCCAAGGGCCTACAAGCTGCTTTTTGTCCTTTGGGCGGTGTCTCTAGTCTGAACTCCACCGTTGCCGATCCCAAGCCCAGATGAGTTGGTGCGAAGGGCTAGCAACCTTTCACTGTAAAAAAATCCCTTGCTAAAGAAACGACGAATAAGTTGTTGAAGCTGTTGAATCGAGAAAATCGGATTTAGCCTCGTGACGGATGCCCTGATTCTAAGTTCGGTTTTCTCACCCAAAAACAAAACTTTTATTGGTACCTGGAATGTGCGCACGTTATATCGAACTG